TCCTGCAAATATACAAACAGTTTCCAATAACTTGTATCAGACTGTTAATAATTCATACAATGCTCTGGAATGCCAGTTCCAAGCAACAGAAAATGTTCTCAGTGCTTCCACATGCACAAATTATTCATGCAAATAATAGTTTCTAGTTTAATGGGAGACATGTTAGATTCTTAAATCTGTATTTCTCACTCCTGATTATTTGCTTCTGTGTGGGTTCACACACACGTGAGGGAACGAGCACAAACACTAAGTGCGTGTGAGTATGTGTGAGAATCTGTGGCTCAGAGGTTAAATAGCAAAAGAGGCTGATTCACCCAGGCAGTGTTTTAAAGAACTTTCAACTCCAGAGACTCTTTAAAACCACAGTACTGCAATGTACATTTACACAAAAATGCTTGCAGAGGTTTCTCCTTCTCTTTTGTTATAGCATTCATTTCAAAGTCCTGGAAAGAAAAACTAAAAGCAGAAGTAAACATTAACTTCATGTGTGTGATTTGCTGGGCATCACACTCATTTAGCTGTGGGATCCCATGTCCACACAAAATTCTTTGCTTCATGCCATTTCTGTCACGTTCTGTTTGCAAGTTTATGTAGGATGCAGCTTCTTGAAGAAAGGTTGACAAATATAGATAACTGAAAAACCTCTGATACCAGCAGGGTGTCTTTGGTTTTGTAGGCATCCATGGGACTTGAAGAATATAAGGAATATAAGACATATTTTCCTAACAGAGGAAGTTTTGTGTGACTGACATGCCAGCTCACACACTTCCATCACACCCTCACTCACACAGGGCCCAAAGCAAATAATGTATCTGCTCAATTTTCACCTCTCTAACTGCTCCTCAGCGTAATCTGAGTATGGTTTTACTATACTTTATATTTTTAACCTCTCTTTAATGCCCTAAGTACATTTTGAAAAGTATGCCACTTTCCTGTACACAACCTTCCTCAGGAGCTAAATGTTAGCCACACTTCTCAGAGGCTCAACAAACTGCACCTCATCCTGCCAACACACACAGCACATCTTGTCTCCTCCAAGCCCACAGCAAAGTGTGTGCTGCCATGTGGCAGCAATGCCACAGCAGAGCCAAACTGGACAGTCCAAACAACCAGGCTACAGTCATCAGGCACACACTGGGCTGAGTCAAATGCTGTACAGCTGTCTGCTGCAATACAGTGGATATGGAAATCCACACTGCAAGTCAAAATCAACAAAAATCCCCTTGCAGCACGTGAGGGGATCTAGCCCAAGGAACCTCCTGACCTGCTGCTTGCATCCAATTTAGTAGCTACTATCAGATACCACATTTAGCCAGGAACTCTCCCCACGTACAGGAAAATCTGAAAGGTAGTCAAATCTTTCCATGCTTTAGCTGCTAAATACCATCGTCCAAGCAAAATATAATGCTTCTGAAAACTTAACTAATTAATTGGACTTTGCACTGAAGCAGACGGTGTTGCAGTTGGGTGCTGCAGCTCTGATGGGAGATGCTAATTAAGAGCTGACAAGCAGTAGCTTGTTAAATCTTCTGTTCATACTTCACTGTAAGTGAGGCTACCTGTGGTGCTCATCCCTTTCCCTGCAAAGTCAAACAGGTTAAACTTCAGCCCTGCTATTAGCCACCATTTGGCTGA